GGCGGTGGCGGTGGCGGTGCCGGTTGCGGTGACGGTGGCGGTGTTGATGCTGGTGGCGGTGTTGGTGCTGGTGGCGGTGGCGACGGTGGTGGTGGTGGCAGTGGAGGTGGTGGCGTTGTGGTGTGGTCGTGGTGGCGGAGGCGGGGGCGGGGGCGTTGGTGATGGCTGTCGGCGGCGTGGACGGCTTTGCTGGAAGCATTTGCGTGGGAGGCATAGGGCTTCTTGTGATCGAGACTGTAACTCGCAGACATCAGCGATCAGTGTCAGTACATCCTTCAAAGTGTTTGATTGCGAACGAATCCACCAAGGCCGGCCGTTCTGGATCTGAGCGATTTTCTCCTGACGGAGGAGAAGAAGCACTTGCAGTACTGCCTAGCACTGCACAGCGTCTGTTTGAAGACATCACACTCCCATTCCTCCACGCGCCGTGCATTATTGTTCGAAGCTCTGAACTGAAAGCCGCAACTGCTGGAGCCTGAAGAACTGTTTTGGGTGTGTAAGTGTCTGCCAGGACACCTGTGCCCTGCTTCGGCCTCACTTGGCCTCAGATTGCAAGGCTCCTCATTACACAGCTACGCTTTTGCAAAATTCTTCATCTGGTGACCCTTGGCAGGAGTTGAAGTGCACTTCCGAAGACGGCTCGAAGTTCGAGGCAAGGTGTTCAGAGCACTGGCTCAATGATGCAGGGTCTGGTCTGTCCCTTCACAGCTCATTCACAGATGAGACAGCTCGTGTAGGTCTATTGCAATCGGTATGCAATAAGCCGATAATCAGTGGCTCTGTTACATGTCCAGGTATTCGCTACTTAATGCAGGTTTCGCTTGGTACCTAGCCTTGTTCACCAAAAACAACCACAGCTGCATCTTTGTCAGCTCTACGGCATCTGCGTTCACCAGGGCAAAAGCCTTCAGCTCAGCCCTTAGCTGTTTGCCTGTGCAGGCTTGACCCATTCTCGTGTCAACGAGGTCTGGGCGAGTCTTAAAGAAATATTCAGAACCAATTTTTTCCTTTCCCCATGCGAAGCCTCGACCAACCAGTGGGTCATTGAGATCTTGTCGGCCTAGCACTATTCCAGCAAGAAGCAGTCTCTGGCTTTGTGAGTGCAAGGGGGCTGCTGAGGGCGTAGTTACTCAATCAAAAGCTCACTGCAAGGAAACCTCCTAAAGGAGCTTGTGGTGACTAAGGGCCAGTACGTGTTCTAGTTCTAGCTGCATTAAGGCTTTGGAAGACTTACATGGTCCGCACGATTCCGCACGTCATGAGAAGCCACATAGATGAGTGGGGGTTAGAGCCAGGTTGCTGGTGTGCCCTCCTGCCGTGCAGCACGGTTTCCCAGCTGCAGGTCTGGACACTACATTGCGCTCGGCACCCAGCTGCTGCAAGGAGGTACTAGGCACTCCTAGGCCTATAGATCGACACAGGCTGATCGGGTAATGCAATTTCAACAGAGAGCCAAGACGTGGCGAGGTTCATCAATGTCGGTCCGTCCCTGGCAGAAGAGGAGACAAGAATTCATAATACCCTAGACATAGCGTTCCAACCAAGGATTAGCATATTGGAGGCTTCATGTGAGATCTAGCAGAACCTGCAGCCAGCATGTTCGCTTACATGGGTCCGCCTGTGGGCTTGGTTTGTGCATCCCTCAGCGTTCTGCTCGGTG